TTCTCCTGGGACAATTGAAACTACAGGTACTACACTAGATGAAACTTAAAGGAGACGAAAGGCCCTAAAAAATATGCAGCTGAACCCATCCAAAACCAAACAATTGGTGGTAGAAGCCACAAAATATGTAATAGAAAACAATTAAATCTTGGCTCTATTGACATCAGTGGCTAAACTCTTAGGCTGTGTTTAGATTATATCCCTTTTCTCGAAAAAGGGATGTAAATTAGACACTTCGAAATTGCAAATGAAGCCGGATTTTAAATTTTCTACGCTTCATTTGTATAATGGTGGCCACGTTTTTTCCGAAATGGGGCTTTTTGAAAGAAAAATGGCAATTTAGACAGGGATTGATCAAAAATAAAACCCTTTTTCAAAAGATCTTGTACTCCTCAGAATAATTTTAATCACAAAAAGCACCTTGATTCTGTGTTTCTAAAAGTGATTTACCATTTAAAAATATACCAGAAGGCCAATAATTATACCATTTTCTATGCTGCGCCTGGGGACAGTACTGCAGCAGGCACTCGAAGTTGATATTTAAGCAAAAAGAGCCCAATCAAGCTATGTGTGAGCACTTTTGCAGAGGTGCTGAATATTCTCAATTCTGACTGAAGTCGATGAGAATAGAGGGAGCTAAGTGATAAGATGTTACAATTATTTTTATAAAGCACCCCAACCACATCCCCAAGCCTGAGTATGAATATTTCATAAGTAATAAAAACCACAAATGAAAAACAATGTAACTTTCCTTTTGACATCTGCAAACAAATATAGCAAACTAGAAAAGTGATTCTATGAAAGGGCAGGAGAAGGCCCTAAATATGGAGGTATTGGTGGGTTTAACTAAAACAGAATCATCAAGGGCTGTCATTTAATCAACAATTAATTCACATGAGTTGCTCAAAATGAATTGCTATTAAAAACATTAATTGTGATTAATCACACTGTTAAACTATAGAATACCAATTGAAATTTATTAAATATATTTTGGGTGTTTTCTGTATTTTCAATATTGATTTCAATAACAGCACAGAATACAAAGTGTACAGTATTCATTTTATCTGATTACTTTTTACTACAAATAGATGCATTGTAAAAATGACATGCAAAAGAAAAAGTACTTTTCAATTCACCTCATACAAATACTGTACTGTAATCTTTTTATCGTGATACTGTAATTTACAAATGCAGAATTTTTTTGGTCACATAACTGTACTCAAAAACAAACCAGTGTAAAACTTTAGACTCTAAGTCCACTCAGTCCTAATTCTTGTTTTGCCAATCGCTGAGGCAAGTAAGTTTCAGAAGGATAGTCGTGTTTGTTTTTTTCTGAAATAGACTGTGTGTCCTGTGGCACCTTAAACACTAACAAATTTATTTGGGCATAAGCCAAAGTAGGCAATAAGCGGCTCATGAGCCAGAGATAGTTCACTAGTATGAGATGAATTGGAAAAAAATTGTTTTTACAATGCAAATATTTGTAATAAAGAAATAGAAAGTTGAGCACTGTTCACTTTGTATTTTGTGTTGTAATTGAAATCAATATATTTGAAAATGTAGAAAAAAATCCAAAAGTATTTAAAATAAAGGCTATTTTATTATTATTTAATCATGATTAACCACTCTAATTTATTTAATCACACAATTTTTAAATCATTTGATAACCCTAAAACCAGCCTTAATTTTTCTTTTTAAAAGAAGAAAGTTTGTGATGTGTGGATGGAAGGAAGGATTGACACAATTGTTGAGCAAGCAGATTGCACCCTCTAGGGGCTAGCTCAGCAAAGGAACTGCTGGCTGTGATAGTGGAATTCATAAAAGGCACAAAAGTTTGAGGGGTAGCCATGTTAGTCTGTAACTGGAAATCTTAAACAACAAATAGTCTTGCAGCACCTTAGAGACCAACCAAAACTGTAGATGGTGTCGAGCTGTCGTGGGCACAACCCACTTATTCAGATGAATGGAGTTTAAGGGGTCCAGTTTTCGAATAAATAGCACAGAGAGAGGAAGAAGAGGAGGAAAATGAAGGAAAAAAAGGGGAAATGATCAATTAGAATGTCCACGCTAAATAAGCTGTTAAGAATACTTAGTAACCCACTCTAAGTACCCTTTGTTTGTTTTTTATGCCATTAGGATGTGGAATGTAGCGGGCCATCCAGCCAATGTCTTTGTTTAGACTTCTGTTGTAGGAATCAGACTTGTAAATGAAATTAAGTTCAGTAGCCTCCCTGTCCAGCTGGCTTTTGAAATTAGTTTGAAATAATATGGTGACTTTTAGATCCATTAATGAGTGCTCAGGCAAGTTAAAATGTTCCCAGCAGATTTCTGTGTTGCCTTTTCAGATATCTGATTTGTGTCCATTAATCATTTGTCATAGAGACTGTCCAGATTAACTAATATACATGGTAGAAGGGCATTGCTGGCACTTGATGGCATAGATCACATTAGTGGATGTGCACCTGTACAAGCCTCTGATGTGGTGGTTTATGTGGTTAGGTCCTGTGATATCGCTTGTATAGATGTGTAGACAGAGCTGGCATCGGGACTGACTCCAGGGGTGGGTTCCTGGATGATATGATGGAGGTGTGCTGCAAGGTTATTGGAAAGCATTTGTTTGAAGTTAGGGGGTTGTCTGGGTATGTCTACACTAGCGTTATTTCGAAATATCTTATTTTGAAATAGTTAATTCAAAATAAATTATTTTGAAATAACACGTCTACACACAAAATACATTTCAAAATAGCGTTTTGCTTTTAGTTTATTAGTTTAACATTAATTTCAAAATAGCGGTTTGGCTGTGTAAACGCTAGTAAAGTTATTTCAAAACAATGGCTGTTATTTCAAAATAACTTTGCTGTGTAGACATACCCTAGGTGAGGTTTGGCCTGACCCCCCAAGGCTTGTGAGAGTGAGGGGTCATTTTTCAGGATAGGTTGTAGATTGTTAATAATGCACTAGAGGAGTTTGTTGGGGGCTATAGGCAATGTTCTGTCATTTTCTTTGTAGGTCCTATCTTGAAGTAGCTGATGCCTTGGTACTCGTCTGGCTCTGTCAATCTTTTTTTTCATTTCTCCAGGTGGGTTATTTCAGTTTTAAAAATTCTTTATATAAATCCAATAGGTGTTTGTCTCTGTCTGTGAGGGTATGTCTACACTTGCACCCTCTTTCGAGAGAGGGATGCAAATGAAGACATTCGAAATTGCAAATGAAGCCGGGATTTAAATATCCCGCGCTTCATTTGTACATTCACGTTATGGCGCTATTTCGAAATAACAGATGCTGTAAAGACGTGGTTATTTCGAAAGAAAACCCTTCTCTCGAAATAACTGATAAACCTCATTGTTTGAGGAATAAGGGTTATTTTGAGAGAAGGGTTTTCTCTCGAAATAACCTCGTCTTAACAGCGTCTGTTATTTCGAAATAGCGCCATAACGTGAATATGCAAATGAAGCACGGGATATTTAAATCCTGGCTTCATTTGCAATTTCAAATGTCTTCATTTACATCCCTCTTTCGAAAGAGGGTGCAAGTGTAGACATACACTGAGATTGGAGCAAATCTGGTTGTGTACGAGGGCCTGGCTGAAAACAATTGATTGGGAAATGCATCTTGGATGGTAGCTAGAGGCATGTCGGTAAGTAACGGTCAGTAGGTTTCCAGTATAAGGTGGTGGAAATGTGTCCGTCGTGTAATTGTGCTCTAGTGTACATAAAAGGCAGCTGGTTTTAAAGCACAGATACTTGCTGAGTCAAGGCTTGAGGCAGAAATGTCAGAAACAGCAAGAGCCTTCATACAACCACACAAAAACCCAGGAGGTCAGCTTAAAATCAGTTGGGAATTTCATCGGTATACAGTTAAAAAGATGCATAATTTTGTTTCAGTCTCTCAAACTAGTGATCAAAGGTGCCACTTAGAACTTAAGAATGGCCGTACTGGGTCAGACCAAAGGTCCATCCAGCCCAGTAGCCTGTCTGCCGACAGTGGCCAATACCAGGTGCCCCAGAGGGAGTGAATGGAACAGGTAATGATCAAGCCATCTCTCTCCTGCCATCCATCTCCACCCTCTGACAAACAGAGGCTGGGGTCTATGTCGCAACCTATCGGGGGTAGGAGGGTTCGGGCCCGCCCCCACTCTGAGCCCCAACCCAGGGCCCTAAAAACCAGGGGGCAAGAGTTCCTCCTATGGTTCGGTTGGTGGGGGGTTCGGTCCCTGCAACACACCAATCCACAGGCCCTCCGCGGCCGCGCCCTGGGTCGCTTCCTACCTCCCACGGTCAAGGGACCGTGGTCTCTGTGCTCCAGCCTTCTCTCTCTCACTGGGAGCCTTCCTGCGCTCCACTCTTTCTGCCGGCGGCCTCCTTTTGAGCCGTCCTGCCAGCTTTGTAGCTGACATCGGGCGGGTCGGGGCTGTGCTGCGTCCAATCCCCGGCGCCGTCTGGGTGGCTCTGCCCTCGCCAGGAAGATGCAGCCAAGCCTCCTCCCCGCT